TTCAGAAAACCTCCTGAGCAGGAAAACTTCACTCTGACTGTATGAGTACAGAAGCTTGTCCTCGTCACCAAAACCACATTCACCTTGCAACCAGTCACCACAGAAGCTCTTTCTCACCCCTAAAGTCAACAACACCCCACTGCCAAAAAAACCTCCACAGGGCGATGACAAGAGTCGCGACTAGGTGGTAAACCTTGTTCTGTCAACCTCTCGCAAAATGTTGCTACTGAGGTAAAGATGAGGCACGGAAGAATTTTGTGCCTTGCCTTCCATGGCTTCTGTAGGGAAGGGTACAGTTAGTGGCTTTGTGAATAGTGAATTTTTGTCAGGTTGACTTTGTGATAGGGTTGACCAATATCTGAGGGGAGGGATTTGCGTTTAACTGATATAGAAAAAAAATCATGTGTACGGTTAAATTAATGTTCCGACATTAAACGACATGAAAGATCCTATACTCATCCTCCACACTTGATTAAAACATAGAATAGTGCACCACCTTGTTCTAGCTAGTCAAATGAAGTTTTTTTGCTATGCAAAGCTAGTAGGCTAAGCTAAGAACAAATACACCATAAAATTATTTTCTAGCATTTCTAATCAGGATCAGAATTGAATACCCATGAAAAGTTGTCTTTGTTTTATGGAATTATGGAATTGCTTTGGTGTACAAAGGGGAAAGGAACCTGCAGGACATTGTAAGATCCTGTTTAAAACTCTGCAATACTTGGATGACATAATTAAATAATATTGATGACACTCAATATTGATTTGAGTTTTAATATTTTATTAGTTCACCAGACGCAAAGCTTCCATGAAGAAAAACTATTCCTAGTAAGCGTATAGTGCCGACTTCAGTTACCCGGATGAGCCTGTGTTATCCGTTTTTACCAGTTGCTATTGGGGGATGAAATACCGCTGGATGGAGCGATTGACCAATCAGAATCAAGTATTCCACAGAGCCGTGTATTAATAAACCATAACATTCTTGTAATGAGTTCCAGGAGCTTCTAGAATACCTTTAGGCCCAATCCCAATTCTATTTTATACCCCTTCCCCTTTGAAACAGAGTGTCACGGGGTAGGGCTGAAAATATTCCCCTAAGAAATGGGACACCACTACTACACTGTTACACATCATCATACGTCGTCGCTAGCTCCTACGTCAAAGAAAATGCACCGATGTTTATCACAAACTCAGACGTGCGGTAAAAGATAAGTTACCTGCCACCGGACTAGTATTTATGTCGTCAAATCAGTGGGTATCAATAAAATATGTTGTGGAACTGTCGTGCAGTCAATAACAATAGCGAACTGTTATCATAGCGATTTTTTGCAAACGTTTCTTTGGAGAACATAACCGTATATATGTACACAAGATGGAATGCAACATAAAACAAATGATTATTTGTTAATAAAATCCTTATATATGCCAAAAAATACTTACTTTTGTGGGTCTCTCTGCTTGCTTGGGCAACCATATTGCCATATATGCGGGGAAATAAAAATCTTTGTTTGAAGGGCTATCTGGCCCTTCCCCCTACCCCTCCAGCCAAAAGAGAATTGAGACACCCCTACCCCTTCATGTGAACACACGAAACAAAGGGGAAGGGGTAAGGGGTAGAATTGGGACTGGGCCTTAGTGTGAAGGTAGATCATATCAAAAATGCTTTGTCCTGTTGTGTAACACTCCCAAGATTACATTTTCTCTCAATTTCCATTCACTGCACTACACCGGAAGTTGCAGTGGCCATTGAGGTTAAATGTAGAAGCGATCGTGCATAGAGTCCATTATGACATGTCGATTATCGCAAAATAATTTTGATTTGTCCCTCAATATTTAAAAAACAAAAATGTGGAAGGTTAAGGTTACCCTTAGGGGGTGTTTTCTTCTGGGAAACAATGTATGTAGCTTCCGCGAGACTTTTGGCAGAACAAGGGTTACCAGCTACGGAATCGACAAGGGGGGATGTGAGAAACGGGGACAATTTTCTCTCAACACAGCAGATGGAAAGATGGTCACCTCTCTCTCTCTCTCTCTCTCACCACTGACGGCTCTCCTGTAGCCGTCATTCAAATGTGTGTATGTGTGTTAACCTTCGCCAAAGTGAAAAGCAGCCGCCGTCTTGTCATTATCTGCCCGTTTCCGGATGGCCTGCCCCTGAAGAGCTCCGACACGCTGTCCAATTAGAGGTCCTGTCAGAGTGATGCGTCCCTCATTTTCCTCTCTCTCCTTTGCCTTTGGATCATTGGTACAACTTCAAAATGGGGGGGAAGAAGGAACGAAAAAACAGTAGGGGTTGACATTGCAAAGACAGGTTAATTCAGCTCCATTCTGGTTGTGCAGGTTAGATGGAAAGATGGTCACCTCTCTCTCTCTCTCTCTCTCTCACCACTGACGGCTCTCCTGTAGCCGTCATTCAAATGTGTGTATGTGTGTTAACCTTCGCCAAAGTGAAAAGCAGCCGCCGTCTTGTCATTATCTGCCCGTTTCCGGATGGCCTGCCCCTGAAGAGCTCCGACACGCTGTCCAATTAGAGGTCCTGTCAGAGTGATGCGTCCCTCATTTTCCTCTCTCTCCTTTGCCTTTGGATCATTGGTACAACTTCAAAATGGGGGGGAAGAAGGAACGAAAAAACAGTAGGGGTTGACATTGCAAAGACAGGTTAATTCAGCTCCATTCTGGTTGTGCAGGTTAGAGGTAATGGTGACAAGCTAATGTAAATGGTGCCATTACGGCACCCCGGGTCTCTTGACGTTTTTTTAGCAGGTACAGCTTGCTGCTTTAATACCTCAATCCCGCTTACCAGTGACATGTCATTTCTCCACTGGTTTCTCTTTGTGTCAGCGCTGTATCTTTACACAAGGTGTTCTGAGCAGAGACCTGTGTGAAAAGAAAGGGAAATGTCGGCAGTTTGATGTAGACACAAAGGACGAAATGAAAATGTAGTAGAGTGCGAGTAGAGATCCGTGATTATGGAGTAATTTGTAGTTAATGGATTCATTTACAAACCGAGCACATTACAAATTGCTTCGTAAAGCCCGACCCAACCTTTGAAAAGCATGCTCTTTACCCGAGGTTTGTCCAATGATTCTCCTGCATTCGTTTATTTAATTTACAGATGCATCTCATTCATGTCTTTTTGCTACAGATTTACATTTTTCTGTGGTGTCAGGCTATCACTATTTGTCTGTGAACGATGTTTATTGTTGTATACAAATACAATCATATTACTCCATGATTATTTTATTTGAATTGACTGGCGACATATTGTTGATTCCTTTCTTTGCATAGTTCATTGTTATTGCATAATTTGTTACTGCTTTTGAGTATCACAGCTCGTGTTTTTTCATAAGCTTTCAGTATATATTTTCAAATGCCACTTTGTCAACCTTTGCCGAGATGTCATGTAGCCACCCTTTACAAACAGCTCAAGATGTTACAGGGACACCTAGTGGTGGCAAATATTTTTAAATCTTTCTCTGACCCGTTTAATGTCTGATGTTGTGTATTTTTTTTTATAATAATGAATCCATCCCAGCTTAAATGATAATTTTGTCTACTAATAGAAATAGAATATCAATACAAAGATGGTAAAAACTGACAGATCAAACGTGACCCAGCATTACCTACCTTTCTCTTCTTTCCATTATCTCGATTTACTCTATTCCGCAAAATTTCTAAAATGTTCAACTTGATGTTGAATGGATTGATCCGTTTCATAATTATTTCCACCACACTGGCAACCCAGTTAGAAATTAACGTAACTGGAAAGACTGTTAATGCTTGTGTGTCTTCTATGTACTGGTTATTTCAGTGTTTCACTTTTTATTAAACATTTTTTCGCAACATTCATTTTATGTTTGAGTTCAACGTTTTCATCACAACAAACATAAAAAAAGCCCCAGACAAAACTACATCTCAAGTAATTCAGTTGTAAGGCATGATTGAATGGCAATATTGTACTAATGACTGTACA